GCTGAGGTTTTCAGCTTCACATGTCTCAGATACATAAAAAGGTTGGTGGTGTACCAAGGCCCTTTAAACCCTAACTCGTCACTGACAGGGTTTTCCGACATTTTTAAAATTACTGTAACTTTTGACTATGCTTCCACCTCACTGTCAGCCATCCTGTTAGCAGGGCCTATGCTATCTTTGGCTACACCGGCTACAAAAAGATAGTGACAGATCGGGACTCCCGATCCGTACCGCGCATGTGCAGGGGTTTTCTTCTTCTTCTGTTCGTTTAATGGCAGTGTACCCCCCAGTGTACGAGGATACCGCCACCTGCTGACTGAGCGAATGAACCCTATTGTAAACTGAATTAGCGTCATTACAAACGTGTGTTAAATTTGATTTAGTGATAGTCGAGTGTGTTTATGCTTGTCTGTGTGGAGAGGATTGTTGGAAAAGTGATGATAATGTCCGCTATCACTGTCAGTTGCCAGTAAACACTTCATCTGGCTGCTGAATCTTCGCGTGACATATTATAATGTCTGTATTATTAACTCTGTCATTAGGCACCATTCTTCTTATTTTACGGCGCTGTTGTTCAATCGGGGGACGCTCTCTGTTGAGGAGAAAAGCGTGAATTTGTTTGTATACGGAGGTATCCATTGTTTAAATGTCCCCGTAGTCGAAAAGGAGGCAGAGCTGCTGAGAAATGCTAGAAGCAAACTGGACGCTAACCGTATCATTCAAATATATTGAATGTCGCAATGTTGGCAAAGAGAGGAAGTGACGTAAGATTTGCGCATGCGGGGTACGGATCGGGTTTCCGGTACGGATCGGGTAGTGACAAGCACCACCACTAATCAAAACATAGCAAATTAAAAAAAAAAAATCAACTTTTGACTTTTCATCTTTGATAGAGTTTGAAAAGTGATCCAAATATGTGCTCAGTGCAATACTGCCATGGATGCAGGCACCAAGCATTGTCAGTGGCACATTTTAATGCAATCCAGAATCACAGATTTAACTATTTGTCTGCAGATGTGCACTCTTATTCTCAATTACAAAGTGACTGGAACATACTTTATGCGATACTTTATCAACTATTGTTGAGCTATGTATTAAGTCCTTTATTTAAACACTCCCAGGTGGATGAGGTCTGGGGAACTAACCTCTGACAATTTTCAACTGAAATTACTTAACGAAACATCCAGTTATATGAAGAAGAACTCGGTACAGAACTTGCAGTGCAGTTCAGTCTTGCCTAAGATTCTATAAATGCATGAAAAAGAAATTTGTGTTTGTTTTTCATGCATCTAAGCTTTGCAGCCTTCTTTTTCTGTGGCCAAAAGTCAAACATGACAACAATGCTGTTGGCGTGTTTTTGATTTGCACAGTTGGTTTTCATCTTTTCTCTCTATGTCCTCATATATTCATACAAACTCGTATTAGATAACGTTAGGGAGTTGCTTGTGAAACGAGATGATAGAATTTTTATTACTCTTTCAGTCAGAATGTCAAGAAATTCTAATGCGACTCTAATGCAGCATTGGGTGTGTGGTGAGTCTTTCTAAACCCCCCTCCCAAAAATCTCTAAAAATATAGTCAGTGGGAAAAGTCCCAGAGAGAAATGTTTAAGGAGAAAGCAACAATGCCTTTTTCTTAAACAACCAGTGAATAATTAGCTTTTTTCTCCTTTCTTTTTTGTTTGTTTGTTTGTTTTTTATTATTGAGAAAACAAAATAGCAACTATGGAAGACATATCCAGGACAAGGACAACAGCAACAACAACACAGAGTAAAACAATCATTGGAATATGGAGTACGAAGGATAAACGTAAAGATTATCCTTCGTAAACCCCCCAAGATTGCTAAACCCCCCAAAACGTGACTATCGAGGGTTGGGACCAGCAAGCATAGGTACAATCTTACAAGCCTCTCCTCTTGTTATTCCCCAAACGCCCATTCTTTTCTCTCTCTTTTCTGTCCTTTTTCTTCTTCTATTCCTCCACTTTTTTCTCCCAATCTGCCCTTCACCCCCTGTCCACTCCAGCACAGTATCTACACAGACAATAATATGAATAATAAAATAAATGAATAAAAACATTAACTAAAGAAGCTTATATTTTCACAAAAAATTTAACTCTTTATAAAAACCAAAAAACATTTTGAAATCATTCATTCAATCTTTTTTAAAATGCAACTTTAAAAAGAGAAATAAAAAGATTCAAAAATCAAGATTTATTTCTGACATTTAAAATTGATTCCACTCCTCATTTTCAAAACCATTTACTCACTGCATTTACCTTTCCTGTCAGTTCATAGCGATCATATTAGCAAATGCATTATCTTTGGGATTAACTACCGAATTAGCTGTAAACTATCAGATTACCTATGCCCGTTACCATTTCTGTGTTTTGTTTTGCTTTGTTTTCGGGTCCTTGGAGAAAAAGTAATGCAGTCCGCTGCAATATAAGGAGCTCACTGATTGGTTAGCGATTCACGGAGGGGAAGACGTAGCTAACTGTTTGAATTGAACAACACTGCTATTTACGCTGAAAACTTTGCACTGCCCTTTGTACAAGCACACACTCTAAAAAGGCATTTAGCCTTGCTATTCCCGCTCTTTCTAACATGGCAGGTTGTAACATCCTGACTGCTGGGATTGCCACATTATCACGACGGCGGTCTTCAGATCCTTGCAACCACTACTGTGTCTGGATTGTTAGCCAGCAGCTGCTCATCTCTCTGAAACTAGAACTCCCTGATCGCTGTTGTTCTCATTCACTGTACTGTTGTGGGGATCCTTCATGATCTTGATTAATCTGCCTTTTCTTAGCAATTTATTTGTGCTGCCAGGTGATCATAGAGTGCCACGAGGTTCTTCAGCCACTAGGCGAGGATCACGTCATGGCTCTTCCTTTAGGAGGTTGCTGTAGTCCGCTGTCAGGTTCACATTCTGTGTATTGTGTGACGCCTCTGCTTATATATTATATATTATCTTATATATAGCACTTTTCTACAATTCTCGAGCACTCAAAGTGCTTTATACAACATGCCACATTCACCCATTCACAGTCAGTCACACAAGCACTTTTTTGTACGCTTTTAAATAATTCCTAACTACCATTCACACACATTCATATTGATGGATGCATCTATTTAGTGTTCTAAGGAAGGAACAGTGAGGAATTAGTGACAGGGTCATGAGAGGCCAAGTCTCACTGATTCACGTGGTGACCGAAGGCTGGTCCATCTGACCTGATCCAACAGACAAGCTACTGTAGCTCAAACTGCTAAAAAGGGTCAGGAATGGTTTGAGGACCATAACTGGTTATATAAAACAGTCTAATCAAACATCTGTTGTATTTGCTGCACAAATAAATTCGATTCATGGAGGTCCCACCTCACAACCTTCAGGACTTAAAGGATGTGTTGTTATCAGATCAGTATCCTCCAACAGGCAGCAGCAACGGCATTAAGCTATAATCCAAAGAAGCAGCATGCTGTGTTGGAGCATGCAAGTGTTCAGTCTAGGCAACAATTAGAGCACAATAAGACATGCTCACACTGCTGAAAAAACACAGACAAACTCAAACATCAAAGTTATTTTCATCAGTTAATTTTTCTTTGTCATAAACTCCAAATTTCTGTATATTTTCTTTTGTTGTTTGTATTCGAATCTTTTGTGCTGGTTACGATGGTGGTAAGCTCCCATGGTTACATGTACATCATTACTAACTCAGCATCTATCGTACTATATAACTGTGCGGAAGAAAGTGTAGTTCTAGTCCGTTCTAGTCAGTCTAGCACTATAACACAAACCTTTAACCCTTCCCATGTGATCCATCTCCCACTTATGAGAACCTGAACTGCTCATTTCCTCCACATCAGCTGTCACGGTACCTGTTTGCTGGAGTCATGCTGCAGAAGAGGTGTGTTGCAGATTTTGACCTTGATTACTGCCTTCATTAGTGTTTGAAGCAGCACCCCTCCAGTCCCAGTTGCTTCTTGCTCTTACTGAAGACATTTGCAAGCACAAACTGTCTTTGCCAGAATGACAGAGCTAATCTTTTCAGGCGATGTGGCTCAGGCAGCTTTGACTTATTGCATTACAGAGCAGGAATGCTTTAACCTCCTTTGTTAGAGCTGCCACTTGTTGTATGCAACAACACTGACAGTGCAAACTATTTGCATGACGGATTTACTGAAGAATCCACTGTACACTTTGCATGTCCTATACAAATGAACACAAAACATTTTCTTCTGAAATGCAATAATGGGTTTCATGACTGTAGTCTCGATGGCTATAGACAACTTCTACTTGGCTCCATTTTAATTTACAATGAATAAAGGAGAATGAAATTCACTAAGATTTATGTTATGAGTACAAAACTACGGATCGATACAGACAAACATGGAGTGAACAGTATTGCTGTCCCATTGATTTAAAACTGGACGTTTTACAGACATTTAGTTTCTTAAATCAGACTCTCTGATCATACTCTGTCATACTATGATCATGTCAGAGAGCCTAATTTGCACAGGAAAGATTTAATTTCCATTCAAACAAATACACTCTCAGGTTCTTAATCATGTTCAGTTAGTACTACTTAGCAAACTAACACTGTCATCTTCAGACAGGCCAGTCCCTGCTCTGAGACCCTAACAAAAAGCTTGGCTAACGTCGTTCCAGCCCGGTTTGTACCACTAACATATTATTACCACAGCAGTTGTTATTCTGGTGCCAAGCACTAATCTTGTTTACATTTCGAGCTTACTGTTACTGGGATTATGCAGCACCAGATTCTTCCAGCTGCTTCTTAAGGAACCAAGTGCTGTGCTGGGCTGCAGTGTTCTGCCATGCTATGACTGTTGATGAGTGTACAAGTTTGAACGCAGAACTAAATCAACTAAAATGGATGCTGCTAGCAGAGGCACAAGGCACTTGTTGTGATGTACACAAGATCCCACTAATCTACTGCAAGCCATACACTACTGCTACACTGCAAACATACAGAAACTCACCTCAGGGGTGTTTGCACTGCACTCTGCTTGCTCTCTCCCACTGGGCTCTGAGCTGCTGTGCTCCCTCTGCTGGGAACAACAAACAGGTGCATAAGCCACTCTGATAATGACTGGTGTTGTTCTTAGAAATGCCTAGCTGAAGTATACACATGCAACAAAGAACACTGTGTATGTATATTGTGAAATAATAATATAATATGGAGGTTTTTGAAGTGTTGACTAGCTGATAACTGCACAACAGTAACAGGATGCAGTTGTAAGAGTTATGCAAGAACTGGCAACGATAAGTAGATGAAGTGATCATACGCTGGTCAGACTGTCTCCAATTAGAAGCTCAAATAGTCTAAGCCTAAAAATAAAACCTCTTTATACCATCCTGTTTCTAACAGCAATACCTTTAACTTTTCATGTAGAATCATTTAGTTATTTTTTATTACATAATTTATGTTTATTCATTAAGTTAAGTATTATTTAGCTATGAATTGTTATTATGTAGTATTATTTATGTAATATTAAGACAAAAACAGATGATGGATCTCGCTCACAAGATACTAATTTGACAGAACACTGCATAAACTAGAGGAGGATTAGGACACCATCAGAATTCAAACCAATTAACTGAGTCAATCTATACTATACTCATTCAGCTATTATTTTAGCTAATGTGGCCGCCCTCTGTGGTTATTACTGGACATAATAACTACCAACAAATCTGCCAAAACAAAAGTAGGAAAAACAAAATGCTGCTACGAACAGAGCTGATTCAACTATGATTACAATGAGTGACATTTTTAACATAAAGTTGTTAGATGATATATTACCTGCTTTTTTGTATACAAATGTTACCAAATGAACATGCAGCTGAGAAATAAAATCAAACACATCACTGTAATGTAGAATATATGTAGAAAGTTCAGGAAGTGAAAAAACATAATTCACATAATTCTTCCATTAACATGAAAAAAAAACATTATTATTATTATTGTTCATGATTCAGCACATATCAAACATGCAGAGCTGCATGCTGTGGTGGACTCTTATGCATAAGGGAACAGCCAGAATATATGCATATATGTATATATATTACTATTTCGTCATTGTTTCACCTACTTCAGCAAAAGAATTTGTCTAATATGGAATAAATAAATCATTTCTCATTCCTAAAATGTCCTAAGAGGAATGTGCAATGCTTTGCATCAGGACTGCACACATGATCCCATGAGTTATGGTCTTGGTTTTCTGTGAAGTATTTCAGTTTTGTTCCCTGATTTGATTTAAATAAGATTCTTTCTTGTATTTACATTTTGCTTCTTTCTCACATGTTCCTTTGCCTTTGTGTTGAAAGAGCCAGATAGGCAGATAAGATTAACTCAGCAGGTGATTTAACTCTTGCTTCTACTTAAAATTAGGCTTAGAGCAGCAGTTTTCTGTGGGAATATATTTGTCACAGTCCTGGGTTGGTGACCCAGTGTTTTTGGTTTCTGTACTTTTACTTTTGATGTTATTATGAGTATGACTGTTTGTTTTGGTTTCTGTCCTAGTATTTCTAGCTTCCTAGTTTGCCAGTACTTCCTGAGTTCTTGTTTTCAGGTTCTGTTATTTGGTTTCCCCCTCATAAGACTGGCTACGAAATGGAGCAACTGGAAGCCACCTCCTCTACGTGGATGACGACAAGCCAAGAGTGAACGAGACATCGATTCACTGATCCACACCACCAGGCTATACAGCAATGACATGGGAATAATGTTCGGACTGGAGAAGTGTAGTCAGATGGTAACGAAGAGAGGGAAGGTAGCCAGAACTGAAGGAATCGAACTACCAGAAGGCAGCATTGCAGACATAGAGGTTAGCTTCAAGTACCTGGGGATCCCACGGGCAAATGGGAACCATGAAGAGGCCGCTAGGAAAGCTGCAACCACCAAGTACCTGCAGAGGGTCAGGCAAGTCCTGAGGAGTCAGCTGAACGGTAAGAATAAGATCCGGGCTATCAACACCTACGCCCTGCCTGTGATCAGGTACCCTGCTGGGGTAATAGG